TATACATGAGCCTTAGACCCGAAGGTTGATAAACACGTCATAGGCATAGTAGAGAAGTACACATGTTGAGTGTACATGGCGACATGTAGTGTCCACTCTATTGATACTGGGAATCACACTTGAGGACAATGGCTAGGCCGTTGGATTGTGTGATTGGCTTGTTGGCTTACTTCACATTTGAGGTTGGTAGTAGGAGCTATCAACTGGTGTAGATTAAGTTTGTTGGCCTACCTAATCAACCTATTTTGGCTTGTTCGCCACAGCAAGGTTTGAAATGGGCCAGATGGGATCTCAGTCCACTAGGAAAGCCAACAGGCTTTCCCGAGTTAATAGTGAGGGCTATTGGCTTGAGGAAAATAGTGGGAGTGTTTTTCAATAAAATACCATATTAAGAAATAATAAACATTATATTGACTTTACTTTTCTGAATTGTAGATTCACTTAGAAATGAGCATTATGAACCTGCGACCGATAATCGAGAAAGAAAACAGGTTGGATGGATCCAATTTCTTGGACTGGTATCATAATCTTCTGATTATACTGAAGTCCGAAAAGAAAATGTATATCCTTGATAAGCCATACATGGCTGAGCCTGATCCTGATGCCACTCAGGAAGTAAAGGATACTTATCAAAAGTTCCTTGATGATGCTGATGGCGTTCAATGCTTGATGTTAGCATCGATGACACCAGTGCTACAAAAGCAGCATGAGAATATGGATGTTACTACCATTATTCTACACCTCAAGGAGCTTTATGAAGGGAATGCTCGACATGAGAGGTACAAGGTGTCAAAAGCACTGTTTGGAAGTCGTCTGACCAAGGGAGCCCAAGTTGGCCCTCATGTGCTCAAAATGATCAAGCACATGGAGAGGCTTGAGACTTTGGGGTTTGAGTTGGATGCAGAATTACAAGTGGATTTAATTCTGCAATCCTTGCCTGACTCTTATGCACCATTCATAATGAACTTCAATATGAACGCTATGGTGAAAATCCTGTCGGAGCTTTTGAACATGCTAAGGACTGCAGAGTAAGACTTGAAGAAGTCCAAGCCTGTTTTACTGGTAGCTGCTAGTAAAGGAAATGGTAAGGGCAAGGGAAAGCCAAGGCCAATCCCAAGCCCAAGCCTAAAGGACAGGATGCTCTCAAGCCTGCAGGCAGCGTTGGGAAAGGTGGGAAGGTAGTCTGCTTCTATTGTGGCAAGCTTGGCCACTAGAGGAAGCACTGCAAGGCTTTCCTTGCAAACAAGAAGAAGTCAGATGCTTCAACTTCAGGTATGTTTATGATTGAGATTAACTTCTCTCCTTCAACATCTTGAGTCATTGACACATGATGTGGTAATCACATTTGTACTGATGTGTAGGGATTAAGGCAAAGTAGATTGCTCGCCAAGGGAGAAGTGGACCTACAAGTTGAAAATGGAGCACATGTGTAATACCCAAGATGTCAAAGGTATGTTCCAAACTCAAAATAGTCCTTTAGATGTTAATTTTATGTCAAAAAGCATAAAATCTAACAAATTGCGAAATAGTCAATTCATTTGGAATGGTATGAATCAATTATCCATAAAAGGGTATTAGGGGCAAAATAGTCATTTTTCCTATAGATAAGCATTGAAAAAGTCAAGGATGAGTAGGCTTAATTGCATTTAATGGCATTAATTAAGTAATAATTATGCGTAGTGCCAAATGACCAAAATGCCCTTATATGAAGAATTAAGGACTTATGAGTTATACAATTAAAATAATTAGGTCAATAGCATAATTTTGAAAAATTAATGAAATATTTTCCTATAAATGAGAGGAAATTCGTTCAAGCCAAGGGAGATATCATTTCTTCAACCTTCCTTCCATTTTCTCTCAAATCTTTCATGAAACAAGCTCTCTCTCTCTCTCTCTAAGTTTTAAAGGAGTATTGCATAATTTTTGCATCCATCCAACTGTATCTCTGACTCATCGCTAAGACTGGTTCTTGTAAAGTGAAAATGCTTGGTCTTGGGAGGAACTTAACTGGTATGGAATCAGCTTTCTCTTGGTTCATTGCTGAGGCCAGGCGGGCTAAAGGATCAGCTACCGAATTCTTCTCCCTTGGGATCTGAAAAACTGTGAAGGACCTAAACTGTTCGAGCTCAGATTCACCAGCCAGAGGTAGGATGCTATCCTATCTTCCTTTGTTTGGCACTCCCTGACAATCTGGTTGACTACGAGCTGGGAATCACTATAAATTTTGATGGACTCTACCCCCATTTCCTTGGCGAGGTGGATCCCTGCGAGCAACGCCTCGTACTCAGCCTCATTGTTGGAGGCAGCGAACCCAAATCTTACTATGGCTCTAATCAGGTTTCCCTCGAGACTTTCAAGTAAGAGCCCTGATCCTGCCTCCTTCTAGTTCGAGAAGCCATCCACATACAGAGTCCATTGCCATAGGTTATCGAGCTTTGGCTTCTGATGCTTGACTACTTCCGAGGTATTTGCCCTTGGCAAGCTTAGTTCCTCTTCCGATTGATAGGAGAATTCTGATATAAAATCTGTAATAACTCTCTCTAGCTAGTATACTTTGGGAAATTATAATATGAAATCACTAAATATGTTATAAAAAGCATATATGTATATAAATATAAGATAGTGGGCCCAAAACTAACTTTACTTTCATATACAAATTCTTTACATTAAGTAAGAAAGTCATATACATAAACTCAAAATACAATTGGACAGTAGTGCCATTCTCCTCCGCTTCTTGACATTCCATCCGACTGCATCTCATCTATTTCCTACAAAAACAGTGAAATCAACGGAGTGAGCATTAATTGCTCAGTAAGTAAATCCACTATGCTTGATCCAATCCAACCAATTTTCAACAACAAACAACACAAAATATGCCAAACTCAAGCTCAAATTCGGCCAAACACAAATGGAAGCAATGTTGCACTTACTTGCAAATTTTAGGTTAAGACAAGAATGAACACTTCAAGCATAAAGGAATTCTCCACCAACTTGAATCGATTCACCACCAAATCTCCTGCCAAGACTTCGATAAAGAAATCTCCATAAGAACAAAAAAGTTCTCTCAATGGTTAAACCAAGTTTTTGATAATTTTCATGAACTACTTTACAAGGAGAATAGTTGCCTTTATTAGGCAATTACAAGGTTAAAAGAGTAATCAACAAATACTACAAAGAAATGAAAAATATAAATATACACAAAAAATACAAGCTTCCATTCAAAATTAAGGCCATACCCATTAATGCAAAAAAGGGACATGATTCCCTAATTCTAGGGTTCATGTCTTTAACACCCTATTAGTTGAAAAAACTCACTTTATTAGCCCAAAACTTGATCAATGATCCTAATCAAGTCTTACTAATAAGGGTGCAAGAGATTGGGCCTTGAAGATCTTGCAATTGGATCCAATAAGGGTTCAAGTGGACTTTCCCTTTGGAATGAGAATTGGGCCGAATGGGCTTACTTCAACACTTGGGCTTCTCTCTGGTGGACTGAGCTTCCTTTGTTGGGCTTGGACTTGGAATGGTTTGGCCGAAGTGCTTGGGCTCTCTCTCCTGGGAATTGCTTGGGCCGAATCTCTCAATGCTTTCCACACTCCACAATCCAAGTGTTTTAGGACTTGGAATGAAATTCTTTGATTCAACCGAATTAACAAGTGTTTTAGGACTTGTAATTCCTGTCCACTCATGTTTACAAGGTGTTTAGGACTTGTAAACGTATCATCCTCCTCGGGTTGAGAGGATTTGCCCTCAAATCCAAATCGTCCTCCAAGTATGGGCTTAGATCCCCCACATTGAAGGTGGCCGAGACTCCCCCATACTCACTAGGCAAATCCACCTTATAAGCATTCTATTACCCTCTCAACAATCTCAAAAGGTCCATCAGCCCTAGGAGCTAATTACTCTTCCTTTTACTTGGAAACCTCTCCTTTGTCAAGTGAACCAAACTAAATCCCCGGTTGGAAAAGCTTAGGTTTTCTATGTTTGTTTGCCTTATTCTTGATCTTCTCATTTGAATTTTCTATTTGAGCTCTCACGGTTTCATGGAGTTTCTTCATTTGTTTTAACTTTCATTAGCATTCACACTTGGCTCAAAATCAAGGGGGAGGGAAGTGAGATCAAAAGGGATAAGTGGGTTTACTCATACAACACCTCAAAAGGAGTGGTGACCCGTAGTAGAACTAGGACTCCTATTGTAGGTAAATTCAGCATGTGCCAATTGCAAATCCCAATCCTTAAATGCTACTCACTAAACTCCTTAGGACATTACCCAACACTTTATCACCACTTCGGTTTGACCATCGGTTGTGGGTGGTGTGAGGTGCTAAACATTAATTTTGTCCCAATCTACCCCATAAACTTCTCCAAAAATGACTCAAGAATTTTGTATCCCTATCCGAGACAATGGTCCTCGGAATGCCGTGAAGTTACCACTTCTCTAAAGAACAATTCGGCAATTTGGAGGCATCATGCGTGGTATGGCATGATATGAAATGGGCCATTTTTGAGAAACTATCAACCACTACCATGATGGAATCTTTTCCTCTTTGTGTCCTAGGCAATGCAACACACAAAATCCATGCTAAGGTTCTCCCAAGGGTGCTCGGCTATGGGTAAGGGTAGGTATGGTCCGGCCTTGAATTGACTCTTAGCTCTGACATGATCCACGCCTTCTAATAAGAGCTTGAACACCCCTAACATCTTAGGCCAATAAAAATATTCCTTGATGTTTCTAAAGTCTTAGTAACCCCAAAAAGGCCTGCCAACCCACCACTATGTGCTTCCCTCATAATTAGTTCTCAAACTACCCTTAGGGACACATAATTCTACCCCTGAATAAGTAACCATCATGCATAATGTAATTTTCAAAACCAGGTTTCCCACATTCAGTTAGCATGTTTTCATCTCCAAATCTTCCTCATAAACAATTTCATAATTAAAGCCTAGAACTCTAGAATCAAGTAAAGAAAGTAAGGCATACCTTCTAGAGAGTGCATCGGCTACAACATTGTGTGATCCTTGTTTGTAATTCCGCACAAAAGAAAAGGATTGGATGAACTCAACCATTCAGCATGTCTTGTGTTGAGTTTACGCTGCCCATGATGAACCTCAAAGCTTGGTGGTCCGAATGGAGGACAAATGTTTCGGCCGAAGGTAATGACTCCAATGGTCAAGTGCTTCACTATAGCATAAAACTCCTTATCATAAGTGCTATACTTCCTCCTTGAATCACTAAGCTTCTCACTAAAGTATGCTATTGGCCTCTTGGATTGATTCAAAACTGCCCCAATGCCAACACCGCTTGCATCGCATTCTACTTCAACATTGGTGGAAATCGGGTAGGGCAAGGATGGGAGCTTCACACAACACTCTTTAATCAAATTAAAAGCTTCATTTTCTGCCTTAGTCCACTCAAAAGATCCTTCTTCAAACATTCAGTTATGGGAGCCATAATGGAACTAAAATTAGGGACAAACCTACGGTAGAAAGAGGCTAAACCATGAAAACTCCTAACTTCCGTAATTGAACCAGGTTTAGGCCAATTTGAATGGATTCTACCTTGGATTGATCTACCTTAATTCCTTCTCCCGAAACTACATAACCAAGAACACCAATTGTTTCATAAATAGCTCACATTTTTCAAGCTTAGCATACAACTTCTTTTGCCTCAATAATTCAAGCACTAAGCTAAGGTGTCTACATGACTATCCTCACAAGTACTATATATCAATATATCATCAAAATATACAACCAAAAATTTCCAATGAAAGGTTTGAGTACCTCATTCATTAACCTCATGAAGGTGCTTGGTGCATTGGAAAGGCCAAGGCATCACCATCCATTCATACAATCCTCCCTTGGTCTTGAATGCCGTTTTCCATTCATCTCCCTCTCTCATTCTAATCTGATGGTAAACACTTCTTAGATCAATTTTTGAGAAGATGGTTGCACCATGAAGCTCATCCAACATGTCATCTAACGTGGAATGGGATACCATACTTGATAGTTATCCGATGATGGCCGACTATCAATACACATCCGGTAAGTGCCATCTTTCTTGGGTACAAGCAAGGCTGGAACTGAACAAAGGCTCATGCTTCTCTCACAAATCCCATGGAAATCAACATCCTCAACTTGTCTTTGAAGCTCTCTTGACTCTTTGGATTGCACCTATATGCTGGCCTATTGGGAAGAGGTGCACCAGGATCCAAATCAATATGATGTTCTATTCCCTTAAGTGGTGGCAAACCCCTTGGTAAATAACTAGGAAAGACATCCGCAAATTCATCCAAGAGATGGTGAACTTTTGGGTGAAATTCAGGTTGCTCTCTCTCTGGTTTGTCTGGCTATAAGGAGGGCAATCAGAGGTTTGTGTTTTAGGAAAGCTCTTTCTAATTGGGTGCTATTTGGGAAGAGGGTTTTACGGGTTGGTGCCTTGGATGGTGTTTGGGAAAGTGTTTGGAAGTTGTTTGGTGGGAGCTTGGATAATGGCTTGGGTGGGGGCTAAGGGTGCAAGGGTAATAGACTTCTTGTTGAGCTTGAATGAGTATGTATTCTTGCGGCCATCATGGATCACTTCTCTATCATATTGCCATGGCCTTCCAGTAAAGATTGCAAGCATCCATGGGAATGATATCACAAGTACCTCATCCGAATAGCTCCTCCCAATGGAGAATGGTACCACTACTGCTTGACTACTTGTATGGTGTCTCCATTGCTCAACCATTGTAGCTTGTACGGGTGAGATGATCCACAACCAGCAGCCCCAATTTCTCCACAAGTTTGGTGGAAGCAACATTGGTACAACTCCCACTATCAATGATCATTGAACAAACTTTTCCCTTGATAGTGCACCTGTATGGAACAAGTTCTCCCTTTGGTTCTCTTAGGGGTTTACTTGAGTATGCAGCAACTTCTGAGCATAAGATCTCTCCACTATCAGCTTCCTCAATAACCTCATCTCACTCTCATCTACCTCTTCTTCACTAGAATCCCTTTGACAAGCATCATCAATCTCATTTATTTCTCTAAGGGTCATAACTCTTGGTTGGACAATTTGCTTGGAAGTGCCCATATCCTTGACACTTGAAACATTTCTTGTTCCTCAAATCAGGCCGTGGAGCATCATTCTCACAAAACCTGTTTTCTCCTTGGGTTTCATTGGCTTTGTCTTATCATAAGCCATAGGTGCCACAATGTGGTTTGGTGTAGGAGGTGAACCCCTTTGGTAGGTACTTTCTAAAGAGTTTCTTGGGGGCCAAGGACTTATGCCTTCAATTGTTTTCAATCATTGTAGACAGCTTGCAAACATCCCCAAAGGAATGGTAAGCTTGCAACTCAAGCTTGTATGCAATGTCCTTACTCAAATGCCTATGAACCTTGCAATTGTATGCTCTTTCTCTTCGGGAATACACTTCTCAACATCAACCCTCAAACTCCCGAATATACTCCTCAACTTTTCTATCTCCTTGCTTCAAATTATGGAGCTTAAGATAAAGGTCTTGTTTGTGATTATCGGGCAAGAATCTTTTCTTCAACACTCTCCTCAATTTCTCCCATGATCTAATTCTAGCCTCCTCTCTTTCTCTCTTCTTCCTTGTATTTTCCCACCACAAGGAGGCATACTCCTTGAACTTTAATATGGTACTTTACACTTCTTTTCATCATTATAGCCCTTAAATTCAAATATCTGCTCAATCTCATGCAACAATCAATGAAGTCATTTGGGTCAAGACTTCCATTGAATTCGGGTAAGTCTACTTTAAGACCCCTATCATCATCAAACTTTCTCCTCCTAGGCACTTCGGATCACTAGATGAATCATTACTATCTCCTAAGTTTTCATATACAATGGTGTCCTAAGGATGGTTCGTTGGTAGTAGGTGGGCGACCATCCCGTGGGGGTGGTTGTGGGGTTTCCTCAAAAGTAGTTTTGGGTTGTGAAAGGTTGGCAATGTCCTTAGACATGTTAACCATCAACTCATCATGCTTGACATATTCTCTTTACTTCTCAAGTTCTTCTTGAATTCTTTTGTTGGCACTTTCCACCGGTGTTGGGGTGGAATTGGGGAGGAAGGGGACTTGTTTTCCATGAGAATTTTAAAAGTTTAGCTACTGTGAACAGTAACTCTGGATGAACAGTAACTTTTTGAAAGTTAAAGAAAATGGAAAATGGGAGGGAAAGGTCAAGTGTATGTGTTTTGGTGATTTTGGTTAAGTGTAAGTATTCGTGAATAGTGTTCGTGAATAGTGTTCTATGAATAGTGTTTTTGTGATTAGGCTAAGGAATGGTGGTTAGGAGATGAGATTAGGTTAATTAATTGGGTTTAGGGTTTAGGGTTTGTGTTTAGGCTTTAGGGTTTGGGTTAAGGGTTTAAGGTTTGGTTGTAAAGGAATGGGTTAGTTGACTTTGGAGGGAATTGATTAGGGTTTGGGTGAGGTGGCAATGGGTTTGGGTACAAGGGAACAAGGTGTAAGGGATTTGGTTGGGGAATAGTGTTTGATGAGAGAGAAAAATTGTCATTCACTTGTAACAAAGAGAAGTTTTGAAAACACTTAGGCCAAAGAACTCCAAATCCGGCAATGTATACTCCAAAATCCGGCCAACTTCATTCAATCAATCCTACTCCAATTCAAAAACTAAGCTCTGATACCAAATGATCCAAATCCAACCAATTTTCAACAAAAAACAACACAAAATATGCCCTAAACTCAAGCTCAAATTCGGCCAAACACAAATGGAAGCAATGTTGCACTTACTTGCAAATTTTAGGTTAAGACAAGAATGAACACTTCAAGCATAAGGAATTCTCCACCAACTGAATCGATTCACACCAAATCTCCTTGCTAAGACTTGGATAAAGAAATCTCAATAAGAACACAAAGTTCTCTCAATGGTTAAACCAAGTTTTGATAATTTCATGAACTACTTTACAAGGAGAATAGTTGCCTTTATATAGGCAATTACAAGGTTAAAAGAGTAATCAACAAATACATTACAAGAAAATGAAAAATAATAAATATTACACAAAAATTACAAGCCTTCCATTCAAAAATAAGGCCATACCCATTTAATGCAAAAAAGGGACATGATTCCCTAATTCTAGGGTTCATGTCTTTAACCCCCTATTAGTTGAAAAAACTCACTTTATTAGCCCAAAACTGATCAAGATCCTAATCAAGTTACTAATAAGGGTGCAAGAGAATGGGCTTGAAGATCTTGCAATTGGATCCAATAAGGGTTCAAGTGGATTTCCCCTTTGGAATGAGAATGGGCCGAATGGGCTTACTCAACACTTGGGCTTCTCTCTTGGTGGACTTGAGTTCCTTGTTGGGCTTGGACTTGGAATGGTTTGGGCCAAAGTGCTTGGGCTCTCTCTCCCCTTGGGACTTGCTTGGGCCGAATCTCCTCCAATGCTTTCCACACTCCACAATCCAAGTGTTTTAGGACTTGGAATGAAATTCTTGATTCAACCGAATTAACAAGTGTTTTAGGACTTGTAATTCCTTGTCACATCATGTTTACAAGTGTTTTAGGACTTGAAACGTATCATCTACTCTTCTTCCTCTGTTACTCTTATTCTAGATTTCTTTCCTTACATCAAACTTCTCTTTCTTCTTACTTCCTCTAAGATTCAGTTTTCTTACGACATGTAAGCACAAATAGGGAAACTAATCAGGATATAGAAATGGCATGATGCATATGCAAAATGCATAGACTTTTCTAGCAAAGCATTTCTTTTCTGTTTTTCTATTTCTTATTCTGTTTTCTATTCTCTTTTGTTTTCTGTTTCTTTCTATTCTTTTTGCTTTTCTATTCTTTCTTCTTTTTCTATTCTTTTTCTTTTTTTCTATGTTCTTTGCTTTTTCTATTCTTTTTCTTTTCTTTTCTATTCTTTCTTTGCCGATCAGACTCGGTTGAGGCATGGATTCTAAACCCTGGCTGTGTGAGTGTATTCTCAAATTCTTTTTAGGTACAGTCCTCATCCACATGTACTTCTTACGGACTATACAAATTCTTCTTTCTTATCTTAGGCCGCTCACTAAAGGCGGGGTGCATGCGGGGTTATTTACTTCTCTGTCACTCACGAGTCCCTTGTCGCAACAACCTTTTCTTCTCTTATCTTTCATTAGGAATTAATATTCAATTTCTTTTATTTCTTTTCTTTGTTCTTAGTGTTCTATGCATGTAGAGGGCTTATTCTTGTTATTCTTCTAAATTCAAATGTTTAAATGCAAAAATGCAATATGGCATGTAGACATGTATTTCTCTACTTTTTCTCCCATCTACAAACATATCAATATAACATGCTATCATATTCATACATGCCCTTCACTTGAAATTTCATCAAACAATTTGTATGCACAAGCAAAACACAAGTCGATTACACCTCCATAACAATCTCTAACCACCAAAATTTGGAGCAAAGCTCCC